ATATTAGAAAATTGGCATACAGGCTGATTTTCACTATTGAACCGCAGCCCGCGGTTCAGTGGGCTGAGCTTCATCGAAGCGGTTCATCGAACATTTCGATATTCTGAGATTTCATTACTTCCCACTACGAATATGTTCTGCAATGCCATAGAATATCCTCGGTACAATCTTAAAGCTTCCAGCGAGTTTATACAAAGACAAATGATGTTGCCCTGTGGTTTCCCTGGAAATCACAAGAAACAGTGAAAAACTCAGATTGTATGACAGTTCCTCTCATCCATTATACTCACTTTAGAGATGGGAACCTTCTCTAAAGAGAGATAGAAGAAGAATTATATAGATCCGTAGGGCCGCATGCACTAAAATCTCTGCAGGAAACGGGATCGCAGCTCAAAAGAAAGCTTGGTATACTGATCCAGATATCTTAATTTCAAGCTGTCTACCTAGCCGTAGGTATTCCTGCTATCCACTATGCTATAGAACAGAAGCGAAAGCTGTTTAAGCCGCGTTTTCCAGCGTTCTGAACAATCCCTTTATGACCCCTGGCTGCTGGCCGTCTTTTCTCTAAACTCATTTTTCTTCTCAAAATTAGGGAACCTCCATAGGTTGCTGGCAACGGTTGCCGAAGTTGCCGGGGATAAGCGGACGAACTCCGCCAGTTTCAACCGCCTTCGCGGACTACTGGTCCTGCAACGACATGCAACAATATAGCAAAACGACTAGTTGCCAGCGCAGGCGGGCTCAACTAACGAAGTTCGTTTCCTCACCTGGTTGCCGGCGTTGCCGGTCGTTGTACCTCATGATAGCCTCCACGTTTCGCGCGCTCTCTAGCTGTCTCTGACCCCGGCAACCCAGCAACCTCGGCAGCCGTTGCCGGCAACTTATGGCCGTTCCCTTAACGAAAACATTCCAAAGTTGAACTGATTATCTTACCCCACCTGCGCAACAGTGAAATCCCAAAGCCCCCGACCTGGTTCAATCAATTTAATGCATGCGGCTCTTACTGAGGAGCGAGATATGACGCATCCCCTCCCAGATCCCTCCCTCCCCAGCGGGGATATACGTGCCTGGGGGGCTTAGATTTTCCTCAAATTTCTCACTTCCCGGGTCCGGGTGGCGAGCAAGAGGAACAATAGCTGACGGGTGTCAATGACTAACACATCTCTTACCCTCTTTTCTAACCATCCATACGCGAAGATTTGGAGCATTTCTTTGTTCCAGGCTTTTGAGTAGACTGAAGGATGCAGTGATTTTATCAGGTTGGAAATGAGTTGCGAAAATACGTTGAAATCCGTTTAAAAGTGTTCCAAAGTGAAACTTCGCGTATTTCACGTTCTGTCTTGCAATAGCATCATCAGTTCGAGATACGAACAAAATTACTTAGTATGCCATCGTATTATCGTTATTCATTTTCACTGAATCTGGAGTTCGCATTTTGTGAGATAAATACCCTATTTTCCGGAGTATAAGCCGCATTTCTTTTCACCGCGCGCGGGCTAAGATGCGATGTCGTTCGCGATGCGCGAAGCCGCACAAGCAGCAACTACTATCTATTTCGCCTGGTAATCTAATACGGGTTTTCTGCTTTCGTTCTTTATTTAGTTTCTTCGCAGATGTATTTGTTTGTAATAAATTTCCCCCTTCTCAATTATTCTTCAAGAATCCGCCGAACAATAAAAGAACGTTCGATACCAGTAGTAACATGGGATAGAAAGGTGATAAGCTTCAAACCGGTAAATCAAAATAAAAGAAAGCACAACTTCAGCACCAGTAACATCATTGAAAAAAGGAAAGCACACAACCAGTAATATCATTTAGGAAGGAAAACACAACCTAAACACCCGCAAAGTCACATGAAACAAGAAAGAAGGTCTAAGCATTCTCACTATCATCAAAATGACTATCAGACATGACTATCCGTACTAAAACGCACCCAGTTTCCAATTTGCTATATAGCTCTTTTCAAAGGCGCTTTCGCGCCACTGTTCGCTGCGGCGGGTGCGGCTTGTATATGTACGGTGCCGCTTATACTCCGGAAAATAGGGTAATTCATTGTCATGCGATAACGGTAGCGGCTAGCAATTGCTATCGTTCCTCTTGCACCACTCCCGGGGTGGTATGTAACAATCGCCCGTCCGGGTAAGTTACCCGGATAGATAGTTTCCGCTTCATAGCTCGCTGCTCTGGGAATCTGTGTTCTTCCTTGTTTGTTCATCTATTGAAGGCTCTACTACCCTCATATTGTAGCACAATGACTAGCAGCACTTTGCTGTATAAGCTGAAATAATAACATGCGTAGCACTGTCGTAATAAATGGACAGCAAAACTCTGTGACTTTTTCCTTGAGTTTTTGCGGATATAAATAACTTTGAAAAAGAGCGTGATCAGTGGGAGATCCCGTTCGGGATCATAGAAATAACGAATTATCTCAACTTATACAGCAAAGTGCTGCTAATGATTGTGCTACAATATTAGGGTAGTAGAGCCTCCCAAAGATGAACAAACAAGGAAGAACACAGACCCCCATAGCACCGATCTATGAAGACTATCCGGGTAACTTACCCGGACGGGCGATTGTTGCATACCGCCCCCGATTGACGTTCTGCTTTCACATATCCGGGAGGATGCGTCTCCGTGTGCTCGTCCATTCTTTTCGTTTTTTTGTGCAGACCTAGTTCATGAGTTCCAGGATCGGACGTTTTCAAGCACCTGCCTTATCGTATTTACAACAATTCGTAAGTAACGGAGATTTCGGACTTTTCTATAGTTTTCTGATGAGCTTCACTTTTGGGCATCTTCAGCGTTCTTTCTTCTGTCCCGCTTTTCCTTGCGACGAGAAAAGTGCGAACTTGTAGCGGGGTTAAAAAATGAAAGCTGTTCTGCTTCATGTATCCCGGAAGATCGGACACGTACCCTATTTTCAGGTGTATAAGCGCGGGGAATTTTTTCTAGGATCGACCACCCCAAGTATGCCAAAGACTTCGCGACCAAAGGCCCGTAGTGTGTTTATTGCTTAAAGGCACCGTCCACCCTGATTTTCGACTTCCATGTTTTTGTCGCTTCAGGGCCTTCTCAGGTCCCTGATTCCGAATATGAAGTCGAGAATGCGCGAAAACCCCAACAGTTCCCGTTCCGGAGAACCCACAGGCCGGCTTTCCGAAACGGTGATTGGATGGGCGCGCACAAATGGGCGGGCATGGACGGGGGTCCTCGCAGAGCTCGGCATAGGTGGCTTATAAGCAAGCTGGATATCATTTTTGGCTCCATTCAGGAGTCACGCCGCGCGCCGTGCCGCTTCGTCGCGAACGTCGCGTCTAAATTTTGTACCCCACAGAACTGCTCGGTGCTAAAGTGGCACGGCGCCAGTCTAGGGGAGTGGGGGGTGGGGGCAGATACATGGCTCGTATCATAAGTAAGACTGCGCCAGGAGTGCTAGCTTGTGTTTTGCTGACATCGCTCGCGGCATCGCTTCGCGAAAAATTCGCGCCGACCGTGACTCCTGAGCGTTCCCCTCATTTTTGGGGACACGCAAATGGGATATCGTTTTTGTGGCCAAAAAACACAATTTAGGTTATGCTTTTTTTCGTCGAAGTCTCGCTTTTTTTTTACTCGATTCGGATATTTCAGATAAGGGTCAAAGGGGACCTCGTAAAATTTTGCGAAAGTCAAGGAGAACTTCTTTTTTTGCATTTTTGAGAAGCCACCTCTTGCCGAGCCCTGGGTTCTCGTGCTTATTCGCTATTCCGAATTTTCTCGCTTCCGAAGAAGCATTTTGCGCCGCGACTTAGGCACTGGAATGGTAAGGGGCTGTACTATGATATGCTGTCAAAAGCTCAACACCCTCAGCTTAGGGTGGACGTTGCCTTTAAGAGATTCGTGCGGCAATAGGATCGCTTTCCGAAGCACAGTGCTGAGCAGTTCGCTTAAAAATTCGAAGAAGTGCGGCTTACACACCTGAAAATAGGGTATTTAAAATTACACATAGCTGCGAGGGGCGCGCTCCATGATCCAAAGCCAGTTCGGCGCGCATAGTATAGCTATTGGAGCCGTTACGCATCTAAACCCGTCTTCTCATTCATAAAAATACCAGTCCAATGAAGAGGGATGAGTTTGAAATTGAAACACATAAAGTTTAGCTGAGAACAAATCCCTAGTTTAGAGTGCAGCACTGACTATTGAGACGTAATGAATTAGTGTATAGAATTGTTTAGGTTTTCCACCGCAGAATCTGAGTTACAGAGGGTAAGTTGAATTCTCTGAGCAGCGACGTTATCATAGAGTTCAAGACGACTTGAAATTTGACTGAACTTCAGTAGAGTAGAAGTAGTAGCGCTACACTCGTGTAATGTAATAGATGAACAAATAACTGTTGAAAACTTTTGTTGCAGTAGACACAAAGCCATGATGTAAGTTCCTCTCCCGCAGCGAAATATTAAGCAATTTGGTGGGTACCAAGTGATCAGGGGGTATAAGAGTTGTGGAATAAGGTTTATTCGCACGGGCGTAGCTCAGACACTCGCGGTTGAGTCGCGCCGGGCAAAACGAGGTGTCGTCAACGAATGCCTGGGCGACTCGCGAAATCGGTGTCGCTGCAAAATCAGGACACCTGATTTTGTGTCGCGGCAAAAGTGCGCGACAAAATCGGGGCAAAATCGGGACACCTGCGCGAGACACCAAAATGCCCCGATCGCGTTCAGAGCACGCGGCCTACGCCCTTATTTAACAGGTTCTTGCGTCTTCTGTGCCCTTTCTCACGCCTCCCTTTTCACTTACCTAACGTCCTTAATCTCTTTGGGTCCCACTTCTTATGCTTGTAACTTTTCTGCTAATAAAACACAGTCTTACGTCGCGAAATTTATTAACAATTACACAAGATCTTCTCGAGCAGGCTTTACATCAACATCGAAATAAGACACACAGACAGACAGCAAGTATGAAATTCGAGGCACCACAATAACGACGATTACGAAACAACTACAACAAAAAATGTAGACAAATCATCAGGCTTCCTCGATGTCTTCGACTTTATCTTCTATGCATTCAGTCTTCCTGAGTGGTACCGGTACTCCTGCCTTCAGAGTCTTCGATGACGACACGTTCTGAAAAACAAGAATTATTGATACCAGGACCACATAAAACAGATGAATCACTTTTGATGGAGGAAGAGCGGATCTTTCAGGGTCAAAATGATATGTTCGGATGTCTGCCCTGCAAAATTATAGTTAAGAAGTATGTATCGCTTCTTCCGTATGAGAAAACTCACAAGGCCCTCCCTATTGCTATCCTTGCGTGACCGTTCCATACAACTCTTTTCTCTGAGAGGACGTTGAATAATTTCTCGCGACCGTCATCATCTACTGCTAAGGACAACCACCACCTAAATTCCAGTGCACATAAAGGTCTTCCGAGGACATACACAGTCGAGTAGATTTCCTGCTTAATATAGTGTCCCTGCAGACGCGACAACGCTGGGGCGTCAATAATTGCCTTGCGAGTTTCCGAGTGAATGTTCTCTAATGTTTTCTTATCTTATTCTTATTCTTTTTAGGTAAATCGTCACTGATAAAGGAGAAGAGGGTAAGTTAGAGGATAAAGTCTGTTTTCTGAGTAGCTATTAGAAGCTGATCGCATCAGTTTCATGCGTATTCTTGTCACTTCATGTCTCTTTCTTCTTATGAAGTACTTTCTTGAACGCTAGTAGGTTTTTACGATTGACTTATTATCTTTATCACATGAAGTTCTCGCTCTATGATATTTCTTATGGGTGAAAGCCGAAGTTGTTACAAGACAAGCCAACTAGCGTTCAAAGAAACGTCTCACAAGAAGGAAGAGGGTTGAATTGACAAAAGAAAAGGAAATGACACAAAAAATAGGCGTAAAACTGACGCGAACTGCTTCTACGTAGATATCTGTGAATATGCGATGATGAAACTTCTCAGAAAACAGAAACTACTACCTAACTTACCCTTTTCCTCTTTATCAGCAACGGAATACCTGAAAAGCAAAGGATAAGCAAAGAAAACAGTAGAAAACATTCGTTCGGAAACTCGCAAGGCAATTATTGACGCCCCAGCGTTGTCGCGTCTGCAGGAACACTATATTAAGCAGGAAATCTACTCGACTGTACCTATTTGGATTCCGCTTATGCTCATCTGGCCCTTGCGCAGTAAGATCCAGGGTAGTTTTACAATCATTGTTTCAGGGGCTATGTTACTGTATGATGTACTATAAAATGCATCACAATAATGTATTAGGCTGGCACGAAAGTTCTTGCGTAATTCAAACAAAATTCAATAACTTTTCAAAGACTGAACCTAAATTCACAATCTTGTATGCTAAAAATATTAGAAGTCTTACGCTTCATGATGGATGTTTAAGCATAAGATTCCGTGGGCTGAACATCAAGAACGAAGCTCTCGAATATGGGGCTTCAAATTTTGCGATTTTGAGTTTGGTGCCAGAAAATCGCAGAGTGCCGCTAGCTAGCCGAAAAAAATCTGTAGAATTTACTTACACAGCAAAAGTCCATACGTTGTTTTAGCAGGCTTTGATCTCGCATGGAATCGCGAAAACAAAAAATTTGTGAAAATTCTCATTTCACAGGACAAATCCCCTTATCACTCTAACTTTTCCACAGAAACACAGTTTGCAACCAGAAATTAGACATAGTGCCTATTTAGAGCCTTGCAACGTTTTCTCGGTTGTAAAAAAGTGTTTTCGCCGGAAAACTGCGGACATGAGGGGATTTTTTCCGCAAAATGACTTATTTCACGAATTTTTTTGTTTTGCTTCACCATGCAAGATCAAAGCCTTCCAAAGTAACATATGAACTTTTGTTGTGTAAGTAAATTCTACGGATTTTTTTCGGCTAGCTAGCGGCACTCTGCGATTTTCTGGCACCAAACTCAAAATCGCAAAATTTGAAGCCCCATATTCGAGAGCTTCGTTCTTGAGGTTCAGCTCACGGAATCTTATGCTTAAACATGCATCATGAAGCGTAAGACTTCTAATATTTTTAGCATGCAAGATTGTGAATTTAGGTTGAGTCTTTGAAAAGTTATTGAATTTTGTTTGAATTACGCAAGAACTTTCGTGCCAACCTAATACATCTCAACACAAGCCCAACAGTCAACAGTCACCATGTGGGGTAAGTATGAACTTAACACTGTCGGCCATATGAGCGCCGCATTCCCTTCTTGCAAAAAATCTACACTCACCTGGGGAATGCTGCATGATATGATATAGAAAGTATACTATAATATATGGCTCCCTCCATGATCAAAATAACAGCAAGCGTGGACCAGTAGATGTTCACAGCTAGGACAACAGCACATCTTCAAGTTACGCTGACCAAATACATCACATGGAAAAGTGAAGCATCTGAAAAAGTTTCAGGAAGACTACTCAATTAGGGTAGCAATGACAGCAACTTAAAAGTAGAAGACAGCAGCAGAATTAAGCTGTCAGCATGATTTTGTATCACTTGATAAAGCATGGGAGGCTAAGAGAACATAGCTGCGATAGGGGTAAGTTAGGGTACAGCTAAGGGTCGGTGAAGTCAATGCAACATCTAGTGAAATTAAGTCTTGACGATGGAATCACAAATGTATCGCTCAAAAACTCAACTAAATGTAGCCAAAAGTCACCAGCAAAAAAGGAGGAATCTACATTTTTGCAGGGAGATCATTGAAAACATTGCTGATGGAGCACAAGCATGATTTAAAACTGGGAGCAGAGGCATGATTCAAAACTGGGAGCAAAAGCATGCTTTGAAATTGTTCGAGCCACAGAAAGAATGGTGATGCGGACTCGTTCTCAGATAAGGTAACCATATCAAAAAGCTAGCGTTGGATGAAGGACAGTAAAACAGATGAGGGTAGACCCGTCGAAACCAGCAAGTGAAAAAGAGAAGAAAATAAAGACAGAAAGAGATAAGCGGTGCTGAAAACGCAACATACCCGCATCTTTCCTTTGTCTTTCTAAAGCTTCAGCTTGTCGAACAATGTAAGCTGCAATCAGCGGATTTTTCGGAGAAGCCTAAATAAGCAGAAATAGGTTTAAATAAATAGAAAATAGAAGAAATGTACCACTTTCAGCGGAGGACTTTTCTTCTGCGACTCAGGTTTATCAACGCAATTCTGTAGTTCGTTTTCGCAAATATACTGCAAATGAAGCTCATAAAAAAAGCTTTCACCAAAAACAAAACCAATATATTCACCTCCTTCAACTGTTCCAGAAGAACAGATTTATTCCAAGCTTTGGCAAACCACGTTTGTCCAGCTCATCTTTCAAATCTACGACTCTCAAAGTCGAGAGCGGAACGCATTTACCAAAGGGTCATAAACAGACATTTGCTTTGTACGCGCAGCTTTGCGGAATATTTGCGTCTGGAATCATATATTTGTGGAAGCACAGTCACAATGTAACAACTTGCAAAAGTGTAACTTGTAGATTATGAAAAGAGATGTTTCGCTAGAATATGCATACATGGTCATTTGCAACGAAGCTAAAAAGCCAGCAACCAGTCAATATGACAAGAGTCATCCCTGGACAGTACAAAGGAACAATTCAAAGAGTTTTCAAATCAAAAGGAAGAGAAAAAGCAACAAATGCTGGGAAGAATTGACGTATAGGTGCATTATTTCGAAATCTCCTCGCCCGTCGCGACAAAATCGCACCAAAATCGGGACGAAACTAAAATGATGACTCGCGCCGGTCCACCGGATTTTGGTGCGAACGCCCATTTTGTGGGCGGATCCCCTGCGCGACTCAACCGCGAGTGTCTGAGAGATTATTCGAGAAGAGTTGTGAGGTGTGCCGGTGTGGACCGGGGAGCAACCCCTAATACATTCGGTGGCTCCTTATATATGATGGAAGTCGGAGCTGAACCGATACAGGGTACAATGTACACGAGTTGGTGCTTGAAAGGAGATGCCGCCGATTGGCTAGCGCACAGGTACCACTTACTCTTGAGTGATTAAATACTCAAGAGTGAGTAGCTCACAATTTAGCGTACGGGTACTCCGTAGGCTATTTAGAATATAGAGTTCATCAATGGTTGATGATATAGAAATCATCAACACTCCGGGCAAGCGAGAGGAAAGTGAGATCTGGTAAGATCCTAATTAGAGTAGCAGATACATGTGAAGTTGACTAGAGAGTAAGTTAATACCTACGCATACAAAAAATGAGCTATGAAGGAGGAGTTGCAAGCACTTAAACATACACACAAGGGTACGATCATTTAGATAAAGAAGTAATGGAAAAAGATCCTGGAGTGGTCGCTGAAGCTGTTTGGCGGTTTAGCGCTGCTCGTCGTCCTCACCACTTCCTCCTTTTCCACACTGAATCGATGGTAGATGATCCATTGATGACCATATCCTTGATAGACGACGTGCTTGCGCGATGTGTGTACTCATGATGTCTTCTCTCCGGTGTATTCGTCATCCTTATCTTGGTTTCATTATTTGTGAACCACTGCGGTAGCCACTCTATTCGATATCGGGCGCGAACATTGGATTTCGTCGTGGAACGTATTGTGGCCAACCAACGTTTTCTGTCTGCTCGAGCTCCAGCGAGAATGGAGGCAGTGATTGTTTGCCTTGTGAAGCTGGACTGTCGGCTGTATGAAGAACATGGTTGTAGTTTTGTTGGCAACAGAATCTTTCCCCTTTGGATTGTTCCTTCATCCTGCTTTGCCGATAATGGCTTGTTGCCCGTTCGTGTGTCCGTACTGTTGAGACGAGAGTACGATTTGGGTTTCTTCAATTTCTCGTTGTGTTGTAAACGTTGGGCTGTTGTTCCTGAGTGTTTCCTTCAGTGTTGATATGCAGCCGAATGTGCCAACAAAACTTGATGTAGTGGTAGTGGCGCTCGCCTTTGATATAACGTGTCCAAAGATGGTTGAAGCCAGAATGAGGCCTGGAGGAAGCTCAGAAGCTCATGCACTCTGTAGTTGTGGGGGTTAACAAGGTTTAGGAGGTCTTGTCCTATGATCAGATCGGGTGAGATGCTTTTCGAAGAGAGCGTATCTTGAGCAGTTATCAGCTTAAGTCTGCTTCCGTGAGACTTGCCGTCTGCATGTCGGTAGTCAGCTTCTGCTTAATGTGCAATGACAATTTCTTGAGTTTCTCGGAGCTGTAAAGACTTTTCAAGGTGATTTGTACTTCAGATGAGTTGGATTGCTCTTGTTGTTCGCCCATTCCAGATGTAGTAAACGAAGTAGTACGAAGGATTGGAAGCTTGAGTTCTTCAAAGTTCTGATCTGATGAAACTTCGCTGTGCACCGGAGTCAAGTAGTCGTTACTGGCTGGTAATCCCACTCTGGCTCGTTGAATATATTAGGTTGAACCGAAAGTTCGTTCGCACCATTTTCAAAAAATCATAACTTCTTTCCGTCACGACGATTTTGCGCAGTTTAAGTTTTGTTGGAAAGCGAAAAGCATGTAGTTTCCAAAAGTCCCCTGGCAACTTTCGAGCATGTTCAGATTGCAGAGGTAAAAATGAAAGAACGATAACATCCGAAATTCGGAATTTTTGAGAAACAATTCCAAAAATCTAGAAACTGCGCGATAAAATCCAGAAAAGCCATTATCCTAATTTTTTTATATTTGATTACTAATTGAGTTAAGTTTGTGCTGATCGAGCCCTTCTTTCGAAAGTTATGATTTTTTGAAAAAAATTCCGAAAAATCACTTTCCTAAGAATTCCTAAGAAATTGACTTTTCGGCATTTTTTTTCAAAAAATCATAACATTTGAAAGAAGAGCTCGATCAGCACAAACTTACCTCAGTTAGTAATCAAATATAAGAAAAATTAGGATAATGGCTTTTCTGGATTTTATCGCGCAGTTTCTAGATTTTTGGAATTGTTTCTCAAAAATTCCGAATTTCGGATGTTTTCGTTCTTTCATTTTTATCTCTGCAATCTGAACATGCTGGAAAGTCGCCGGGGGACTGTTGGAAACCGCATGCTTTACGCTTTCTAATAAAATTTAAATTGCGCAAAATTGTCGTGAAGGAAAGAAGTTATGATTTTTTGAAAATGGTTCGGTTCAACCTAATAGTTGCCGATACAATTTGAAGAATGCATTGATCCTGTGCAAGCGAAACACTTCGGGATTGTAGACTTCTTGTCGTGAGCCTTGTACGACGTGCGTATTACTCTTCTCATGACGATCCTGATTGATGTCACGTGATTACCAAGAGCAGGTGACTGTTGATCAAGTGCAGGAACTCGGATTGCGTCAAGAATCCTCTGCGTTCCTGCTTCTGACAAGCAAAGAGATCCATGGTGTGATCCTTTGCATTTGGGGCACACATCGAATTTCGTGCAAGCCGAGTTGTGATCGCTTGCAAAACATCTCCAAAACACTCCTTGATTTGTTGCTTCAAGTCGTCGGGCTTCTGGTGTGGTGTACCTCTGACAGGTATGTGGAGAATGTGGTTGTCCACATAAACACAAGCGTTTTGGTTTCGAAAGGTGTTTTTTCCATCACATCTGGCAGTCCTTTCATCTTCTTGGTTGTTTGGGTGGTAGTTGGTTAGAAAGAGAGTTTCCGTTGTTAGCAAGATGGTCTCTCGCAGTGAAATGATGCTGTCGGTGGTGTTCAGGATTTCGCTAACATCAAATGGATCATCTTGTACCGCTTCTTTCTGGATGGCGGTCGTACAGATGGATTCGGGAAATTTGGAAAAGATTATTCAACGCCAAAGTCTGTCTGCGAAAGTCTGCGTTCATCTTTGCTCCTGTTTGCTCCAGGTGAATGATCCTTAAGTTGATTGCTTCGAAAGTGTCTCGGCAACCTCTCGGATCATCTGAGGCCCTGGGTAGTTTTTCGATCTTTTATAAGTATATCTGCCATGTTGGCAGAGCGATCGAAATGTTTCTTCAAGATATCTATCGCTGTCTGATATCTGTCTCCGATGACGGGTATGCAGCTCAAGGTGGCTGCTGCTTTCCCCTTCAGTGCTTGCTTCAAAAAGAGGAATTTGTATGTATCCGATAGCTCCTCGTCAGTGTGGATGAGAGACTCGAAGACGGTCCAGAAGCTATTAAATTCTCGGAAGTTGCTTGAGAACGTAGGGATTTCCAACAGAGGTTTTCGAATTTTGATCTGCCTTTCACTGCGTTCTGAAATCCAAGCTTGTCCACTATTACTACTTGTTTGACTCGGTATGCTCGGAGCATCACAGTGCAGACATGCGTCTTGTGCTTTCAGTTCATGTTGCCGGAACTCTATCTTTGTCCGCCACTGCACTACAGTCACTTCCAGGTCAAGTGTCTCCATCTCTATGTGCTTGCTGAGCTCCATCATCAGTTTGTCTCTTTCTTTTTCCTCATTCCGTGCGCTGATGGACTCGATTGCGGAGTTGATCTGCGTCTCTTGAAGCTTCACTGCGTTGTGTAGAGAGTTGAGAAGATTGGTTGTCAATCCCGTTTTCTTTTTATGTACTGCTCACATTCTTCTTTCAGTGAGGAGAATATGAAGGGGACATCAATATTTTCGATTTGTGACCGTGGGATTCCACGAGTTTGCAGGCGTTGTTAATCCTGATCTTAAAAAGCTGGAGCGATGCCATTTTCTTTTTTGCTGCACGGGGTAGAATCGTGCGCTGGTGTGGTGATTAATACCGTTCCAGTTTGGAAGTGTGCATCCTCCTTTTGTTGATCGCTTTGGCTTGAGGGCGACAGCGGGGCTGGCCTCGATACGATAGCTGTCCTTACTGGTTGCAAGGAAGCTTTCTAGTGAGCTGGCAGTTGAGTGCCGAGCGTCTACTAGCTGTCAGCAAGCGCGCCTGGTTGGCTTGTGCGCTGTACTGGACGATAAGGTGTTGGAACCTGTCCCGTGAATGTAACGAGCCAAAGCTCAAGATCGATGAACCAACCGTAAATGAGCTTGGAAAGTTGAAATTTCTGTTGCTAACTGTGGATGGACCAGTCAGTCAGCTAGAAACCTCTTTGCTAAGCTATGGATATGACCTGATAGCTTTGCAAGGTGGAACTCGTTTGTGAAAGTGGATGAACCAGCAATCACAGAGTGTTTTTGGATACGGAAGCCAAAAAAAGTTCGAGGATTTCTGTTGCTAACTGTGGATGAACCAGTCAGTCAGCTAGAAAAACCTCTTTACTAGGCTATAGGTATGACCTGATAGCTTCGCAAGATGACGATCGGGGAACCGATGGTACCAACTCTTTGATATATAGCTCGCCCTGATGTTTTTTGCCCTAAGCACCATCTTCAAGACTTACTTCAACTTAGATTTACAGTATGGAAAATAGTCGCCCTTCATTAGTGTAATTTACTTAGGCACTTTGAAGTATTGAAACCATTGAGGGGGTCAGATTTTGTCCTATTTAGACTCAAAGATAGCTTATGTTACAAAGATATTTAGGTTGCTAACCATATAAACATTGGTTGCCGTATACATTTGCTTGAATGTTGAAGGCAGCGTCCCCTCGAAATGATGGGTGCCGATTTTACAGTATTAAGATGGTAGACCCTCCAGCTAATCTATTAGTGAAGTTTGAAGCGAAAAAGCGTT